TCTTAAGGGGATCTATGTACCCTTCAGAGTAGAGGGAAAATCAGAACTAAGAAATGGAAATGGGTAAGTGAATGAATTAATTACCTAGGGAAATACATCATTTTTAAGTGCGATCTTCATACATATGACTTTTCAAATATGCGTGAAAAAAAATAGACTTTCCAAAAGAAAAATTGTGTCCCTTGGTTGCCAAAGACATTACAGAAGAATCTGTTTGAGATTTTTGAGATAAACTAGACTGTAGTTAGCTTCCCCAGTATGTCCTGGCCCTGTACTTTTTGACTAATATTAATGGTAGATAAAAGTAATTTGCTTCCATATAATATCTAAAGATTAGTTTCCTGAGCAGAATTCTGAAAATTTGAGTAGGATTCTGGTCAGGAGACTGGAGTGGGGGCATGAGACAGGTGGAAAAGAGTGAGGGCGTAAAGGCAGAGGAAATAAGGAACGATATGCCTTGTTAGTTATCAGCTAGTACTGATAACATGGGCTTGGTTTGCCCTGCTGTTTCAGTTGAAACTGTGGGAGGTCACACAACACAGGTGTTCTGGCTGTCATGTGTGATTGTAACAACAGGAGGGGGTGTTGTGATTGGCCAAGATGAAACTGTCCACTCAGTCCTTTCTTCAACACTGATTGTGACAGAGAATCTTTCATTTGTCTTGGTGTCTATCTCACCATACCTCCACTGCCTCAGGGAAGCTCTATATTCAAACCTATGCCAAAGGTTTATTTTTTTTTTCAAGTTGAAATTATTAGATCAGGACAACAGGTTTCTTTTGTGGTTCTATGGAAAAATGAGAAATATAATAGATATAACAAATCTAAGGCACTAGTTATAGTACAAGTGATAAGAGCAGCTATTTCATGTATTCACAAGATGGTTAAGCATATTAAAGGAGCTAATTATACGAAGGGAGCTAATTATATGAAGTATTTAGAACAGCACATGGCAGAGCATTAGCTCTTGAGATGTAGTTATTGTCATTTTGGGGATTGTCATTTTTCTTGTGTTTTCTCCTTAGATTTATTATTTCTTCCAGTCACTGACATATTTATATATGTTAATCTCATTTCATATATATCCTCACTGTAAAGTTTTGAGTCTATGTTTCAAGTGATAAATAAGAACTCTTATTGTAGAACTCTTTATTGTAGGTTGTATTTTAGAAATATATGGCTGGGATATGTTGAGAAAAATGGCTCAAGGCAACCAAGGATGAAAAAAAAAAAAAACCTCTGTTATGAACCCATGGTTAAAGCCATCTGGCTGGAACTCATTTTTAGAAAGCCTCATCTAGAACTTTCTCTATGCCAAGGACTCTCAAATTCTTATCTCCCACCAACACCATACTCTTGTACTCATATATGATCTGCCTACTTAATCACCTCTATTTCAGTGGAGACATTGCTAACTCAAATACTACATGTCCATGAGTGGACTTCGTATAGCATATTTTCCATCCAAGCATTCTCCACCCATATTCTTCCCTACCTCCGGGGATGACGGCTCTTCCCTTGGCTTAGATCAAAACATTTCTTCATCTTTGTCTTCTCTGTTTCTATCTCACTATACCTCCACTGCCTCAGGGAAGCTCAATATTCAAAATTTGACCATTTCTTACCACTCTTTTGCTATCATCTTTATCACTTACCTTGAATTCCCTATGAAACACCTGGTTTTACTGTCGCCTCCCTATGCTATGTTATCAATACAATAGCCAGAGTGATCTTTTGTGATATAATTCCAGTCACGTCACTCCTCTACTGGAAACTCTCCAATGTTTTCCCATTTCATGAGGAGTGGAAGATCCTTCATGGCCTACAAAGCCCTCCATAATCTATAAGGTTCTCCTCTATGGCCTCCTTTCCCCCCACCACTCTTACCCCACATGCTGATGTAACACACTGACCTCCTTGTTAGTTATAAATAAAGGTTTATTGGACCACTCCATGCCCATTCATTTATATGCCATCTATGGCTGCTGTCTTGTTCTCCCAGCGGAGTAGAGAACAGTGACTGGAAGGACCACAAAGCTGAAGCTACATGCTATCTGGACCTTATGAACAAACATAGTTTGCTGGCCGCTGTTATACAGAAATGGCTGTGGCCACATTTCACTGAGATTGGCTTTGAGAAAACAGAAACTGCTGAATAGACTCCTCCACACTGCATTGGGTGCTCAGCTTCTCAGCTTTTTTGGATGCCTGCGAAGGCACAGAGGCAGATTTCCACCAGGGGTCTAATGAAGCAGGCGGATGAGCAATGAGCAGCAATTTCTCTTTGCCTGGGGTGACCTCTGAATGTGGGGATCAGAGAGAAGTAGGTGACTGATGGGGACAACATGCAAGCAACAAAGACAACAGGAGATGAAGCGAGACAGAACTTTACTCCCTCCCTCTCCAACAGTTCTCTAGGGTCTTCCTACATTTTCACTTCTAGAGGACAGAACTCTGCCTGCTAGTGTTTTGTGAATTGAAGTCTGTCCTCAGAGACAGGCACTGTGCTCCTATTGACTTTGATGGGAATAATGGGCCATTTGGTCCCTCAGACATCTGTGCTGGCTTCAGGCTATTTAACAAACTCCTAAACAAATCCCAATAAAGTGCTCTTTAATGGGCACTTAATTCTGGCACAAGGGTGGGTGCAGAGCACACCTAAGTCCTTTCTTTACTTTCAGGTTTAGGAAGTTTTCTTTTTTATGTCTTGATAATTACTACAACCAAAATCCTGAGTCAAGCAGTATGAAACCCACTCAGTCAAAAGATGTTGGCTTTTATTGATCTCAGTTGACCCATTTACTCTCTGGGTTCCAATTTAATGGCTCAATTGATTATTCATTTGCATTTTTAACATGTTGGTGGGCAAAATCATTTTAACATGAATCATCTTGAACTCAATGGGCAACATCCAAAATCATCTTGGGTTTTCAATTTCAGCAAGTATTTCTTGAGCAACTGAGCTCAGGTAAACCTCGCAGGTATGAAAAGGTTTTTCAATTTCTTGTAAAACATGATAGAAATGATAGTTTGATTTTACTCCTGGGCAAAATGACTGTCACTTATGGGTGCTCAGCTGGAATCAGAGAGGTCGTTGCAACATAGACTTCCTTGTCACACTTTTTTTTATCTAAATATGATTTGAAATCTACAACAGTTATGCCTATATTTTCACTTGGACTCTTTCTTAAGTGAAATCCAAAAGTTTCAATGTCATTCATTGATTTGTTCTCCCTCAGTCTTGGTGTGCTGCAGACAGTAGACACAGAGAAAATTTTACACAGAGGGCACTACATAAGGAGAAATAGTATAATTTTATGAGCTCACAGAATTCTCTATTTATAAAGGTGGCAACATGGATATTCTGACTATACTTACTTTTACAATATAATATGCTATATCAGGGCTCTTAATATGCTAAGGAGCTCATTTGATAATATGTTTTCTTCCTTCACAACAAGCAGGTGAAGCTCTAAAAATATGCCTACCTGGTGCTTATCCTTCCCAGTAGGACTCTTTTGAATATAATATTAAAAAAAATACATCTATAGCCAATCACCTACCTTCCATTTCTTTCTAAAATGAGAGGAGGCATAAGAAAATACATAAATGCATAATTTCAACCAGAATAGTTACTTTATCTGGCAGTTTTAAATAGAACCAGATTTCAGGGCCAAAGAGATGAGGCTTACCTTTCACCCTCTCTGAAAAAGGAAGTTTTTGTGCATGGTGAAGGGGAAAGTGAAAAATGGAATACTATTAAAAAGTTTGAAAGTGCCTTGCTTTATTAGTTTTCATGAATCATTTTATTTGCCTTATCACTAACTCCTTAGATCAAAGAAATGACTGAATTTCAGTTCTTGGAGAAAACATCAGAAAGGAAATAGTATTATTTCCTTGGTAATTACTAAGCACTTTTCTATGTGTTAGGTGGCAGAATCTAAAAATAAATCAAATTCAACTTTTTGGAACTTTGCGTCTCATGAACATATAAACAGATCATTGAACAGGTGACCTCATGCTTATGTTTGCAATGCTGATGTGCCTCCCAGGTGACTGAGTCACGTGGTGGCCTCGGAGGAGAACTTTAAGGGTGAAGTGATATTTGAGGGTGATCTTGGAAAATGAGGAACTCCCAACTGTGGAGTTTCTTGTGAAGGATCATCAAAGGAGGTCAAGTTGGGAGGCTCTCGGTGGCATTTAGGGGATGCTGGACTCCCCATCATGGCTGATAGGACAGTCCCGGGAGTGTAGAGAAGCTAGTGCCTGGATTAAGGAAGGTGAGAAGGGCTGCATGGTGAAGAACTTTAAATTAGGACTTGGGCGTTATCATGTAGACAAGGGAGAGTCACCACTGGCAGAACTGAAAGAGATGGAAGGAGGCCTGAACTCAAAATATAACCAGAAGGCAAAAGGGAAGGTACCCACAAAAGAAACTTCATGTGGGGTCTGTTAGAGAAACTGTCCAGGACAGGAGGCATGGGACAGCGTACTTCTATCCCGCCTCCTCTAATAAACAGGTCTAACATGCAACTATATTAAGGTCTCATCACCGGGGTTCTTAGTCCATTTCCTATGGAATGGTCAGCAGCCAGATACAATCACTGTCTGGCTTCCTCTTCCTTTACCTACTTTAGAAAGGTAAAGACATTCACATACTTATGGATCAAGAAGGAATCACATGCCGTGGTCATTTTCAAATGTTTCCTGAATTCTTTAAGGGATAGAGACCTACTTGCATATTCTGATAGGAAAAAAAAATCCCCACACGTTTGATGATGAAAAGATGATCAGCAAGCGTTAACTCACCAAAACGATTTAGAATGAGTTACACCTGACATGACTAAGTTGGAGCACTCCATTAGCTTTGTGTGAAAGAGTGTTTGCAGGCACTGCACCTGATGAGTTTCAATGTCTCTAGAACATTCTGCTACCCTTGCTTCTGACCATACCTGTGTGTGGGGTATGTGTGTGTGGGAGGGGTCTTGTGAGTCCCATACCTGTGCTGTCTTCATACACCACGGTCACTGTTTTCCACCTGTAGTAAAGGACCAGATCCAGGACCGCCCTGCTGATAGCTGCATAATCCGGGTAGAGGTTGATGTAAAACAAGTCTTTGTTGTCCACAGAGGGGTGTTTCCAGCGGGTCTGTATGTGGGGAACCTCCAGAGCATTGCATATGGACTGCACAGCACTGACAGAGGAGCTGTGGGTAGGGCCGAACAGAGCTGCCACACCGAGAGCCAGCTGGTCACACGCTGATGCCCGGAGACAGGATGGGTGGGGGGGAGAGCAGGGATGGGTGAGAGAAAGAGAGAGATCCGTGAATTTGATCTTGCTTTCCATGGTTCTGTCTTTCTATTTTCATTATTGGAAACTTTCCTACACTCTCCATCTGTATGTTGAGGAAATATGTGTAATTGTACCTCTACCACTCCCGAGAGGCTGGCAGATGGAGAGATGTAAATGTAGAACTGATTAGTAACACATCACGGGGCCAACTCCCTACAAATCAAAACGAGCGCTGGTCTGACTTCATTGCTTTAATCAGATGGAGTGTAAACCTCTTGCTCGAGTGCTGGTGCCCAGGGGCAGCCGGAGCTGCTCTGCAAGTCATTAGCTGAGTGGATACTGGGAGAATGGAGTTCTGTCATGTGTCAGGGTGCAGTGAAGATATTAAATGCAGTCATAGAATTTGGATGAGTTTCTGGGTAACTGCAAAGTACTTTAACTTCTATCATCCTTAAACTCAGAAGAGTCCTCTGCTAATGAACAATCGCTGAAGAATGCTCATAAGTGATACTGAGACCTCATTAATTGCACAGAAATGGAAGAGCATAACCCCCAGGGACCTTAAATGATATTTGGTCCAACCCACTAATGTCATGGACAATAATCATGGATAATGGCAGAGCTACACTCCAGTTTCAGGGACCCCCTCCTGGTCAGCCTAACATTACCTCAATATCAGCCAACTTGTAGCTTAACCCAGATCAAGCTCATGCATATTTATTAATTAACTGATTACATTTGTATATGTTTTCTCATAAGATTACACTCTTTGAGAGAATTTAGAACATTTATAAGGAAGACCCAATCATTGCACCATCTACCAGTTTTAATTTTTAAAAAACCCAAATCATTACGTAGACACAATTTGATATATTGCTTTTTAACACTAAATTTAATATTTGAAGCACATCCTTTTCCCCAAGTCATTACAGATTCTTGAAATGTTTAATTTTAGTGTCTGTAGAATAGGTTATTCCCCAGGTATGTTTTCTTCTAGCTATTCCTGTGATCTTCCATCTGCTCCTAAATTTTGGTTATTGTAATATTATGGCAATTATTTTAGTTCTTATGTATTTTTCGACCTTTTCATTACTTTCTTAAAGTGAATTCCAAGATATAAATAAATGGTATTGCTATTTTTGTTGCCAGATAGATATGAGCCAATTCCTTTCAGAAAGGTTGGTATAGATTGTCCTCTAAAATCATGTGAAATAGGATCTGCTCATTTTTTGCTGGCCTAAATTCACAGTGGCATTACATATAAGTTTAAGAACATTTCAAATTTATATTATAATGCTAGTTTAAATGTATCTGAAACTGCCCCAAATTGAATTTTTACACTAAATAATTGTAAAATTTATAAATGAAATTGTGTTAATTTTTATGGTAATATTGTTTTATAGATAGAAGTGAAAAAATATGACTATGTCAAAATCATCTGACAAAATTTCGAGACACAATTTCCAAATATCTTTGGGGCAGCAAATTTGGATAGTCTTTCAGAAGGAAATTTTATGGTGCTGTGCTCTTTGGCACTGAATTATTGCACGAGACATGAAGATATACACTTTTCTGCCTTACGTGTTGCAAGCATAGATTGCCTTTGTCTGCAGAGCCTTATGAGGGCATATGGACTGGGATTTTTGTCTAGTATGAACAATGGATTGAGATTCCTGCTAATATTAAGCGCTGCAATGCTAATATTACTTGACAGAAAATCAATCCTTTTGAATTCTTTTCGCCAACAAATTACCAGTTTTAAGAAGCTTTGGAGGCGCGTTATTTACAAGTATGACAGGTACTTTAGATGACAAAAAGCTTTCAATTTTTGAATGGTTTTAGTATCATGGTTAAATATGGTTGACTTTCAGCTGTGTGTGTGTGTGTGTGTGAGAGAGAGATTGATCTAACCCATAGAAATCATTTACATGAATATATTTTGTAAATGCTATATAAAATATAAACTTTTCATTTGTTTATAGCTATCTCTGACCTATACATTAGCTGCAATTTCATCCACATAGGAAGAAAATATACTAAGGTCCTGCCATTGATTGAAAAAAAATAAATCATTCACTTTTCATTTGAACTCCCAGGGAAACAAATTTTATATATATATATATATATATATATATATATATATATATATATATTTTTGTTTTGTTTTGTTTTGTTTTGTTTTGTTTTGTTTTGATAAAGAAGACTGACTGAGTCTTCCAGAAGCCTGTATTAGGTGAACACACCCTAGGTTACTTCTCTGTGGACACAAACATTATCTAGCTACTTGGAATCAGCATGGACATGGCATTCATTATGTTCCATTTATTAGTGTTCTTTATGGTCAAAACACTCTTCCACAAGAGGTGGAGTTCCTCAGCACCTGGGGTGGTATTTCACATAACCCTTTATATCAAATCTCAAAGCTCCCATGCTAGAGGGACACCCTGAAGAATATTGGGCATGATATGCTTCAAAGGGTGACCTTGGAAGGGCCAGAGGATGTCTGAAACTAGCCCCACATTTCCCAGGAAAGGCAACTTGCAGACTCCACACCCATTAGGTTACATTTTAGGAACCTCTCTTGTGTTCCCAAGAAAAAGAGAATCAAATGAAAGATTGTTCTCAGGTTTACACTTCCTATTTCCATGTTTTTGTGGAAAGGAGTTTAAGAAATGACAAGCTGAGAAAATGCCAGGTAAACGCTAACAGTTTACAACTTGTTAAAATTCTCCGTGTGAGTTATGTGTGTTGTGGGCATTTCCACCAGCTCAGTGGATGTGACCTTCCACAAAGTTTTATTTGGCTGCACTGTACAATTTCATGGTGGTATCTCACCCTCAGGAAGGAAAAACAGATCAAGCCTGACATTTTCCATTCACAGCTGAACCAGTTAATCATAGAGCGGAGAGCACTGAAGGGTAAGCTAATCAGAAAGGCCCAGAAAACAGAACTAGGCAACAGCCATTAGATAGTTCTGATTGCACTGGACAGTGACAAGGGGGACCAGCATTTCCTGCTACCCATTTGCACAAAGATATCCACTTTGAACAAGGGCAGGTAGCAAAAAGGTGACTTGTAGAGCAGACCTATCACCCAAAGAAGCTTTTAAAAGTGTGAAAAGAGTTACCTCTCCGTGAAGCTTCAAAACTATCAAAAAGGTTAATTCTCTGGATGTCATAGGTTAATGTGGTGTTAGGCATCAAGGTTCGATTTCTGTTGATGCTGGTGACTGCGAACTTGAATGCTAATTCTTCAACATTAACAGGTTCGTTTTCCACAGTTTCAAAAATCCCTCCTGCAGAAGCAAATGAAATGCATGAGCAATGTTAGTCACTTTATTCACATGTATTTTTTTTTTTTAAATAAGAGTAAAATCCAGACATGGAAAAGGCCCCAAAGAATAAATGTGGGAGTGGTCAGAAAAAATCCCAAACCCAGTGCTAGAAGTTCAATTTATCAGCATGTGTTACACGCGACAATTAGGTTGAAGTTCATCTGCATGCTTAAGATTCTAAATCTAAAGGTGAACTGTATAATACCTTTCAGATGGTACTGAATATTTAGTACCATGTACAGGATAATTGATAATAGTGTGGAGAGCAACTTTCTAGAGCTTGGTCATGATTCACCCCTGGGTTGAATTAATCATCTGAATTGTAACCCAGAGGCCCATCCTTCCTGGAATGAAGATCTCCACCTGGGCACAGACTTTTCAGATGCTAGAGACAGTAGCACACCATAGATTGAGGTCAAAATGAGACATATAGACTCTTAGATTTTTTAGAATGAAAACATGTAATTTTTCTTTGTGGTTCTAAATCCTTAGGTCATATTCTATTACTTTCCAACATGCAAGGGCAGATTGAATGAACTGTCTTCTTTTGTTTTGTTTGTTTTAAAAAACTGTTTGGTCTGCTCCCAAAACTAGCCTGCATCATACCTCTGGAGAAATTTGTTCTCAGTGTGTGAGAAAGCATGTACTAAACCACTCATACCTTAAACATGAGTCTCTCATCACAAGCCACAATACAAAATATCAGAGCTTTCAGTCTCATCAGAAAATTCACCTCTTACTTTGCTTGACACACAGAAGTTCATAAAGGTCACTTAATTATTACTAATTGTACATTCTTAAAGTTCTTTATGAATTGTCCTGTGATAATCATTTGACACAGTATACACAGTAGAAACCCTTCTAATGGGAACCTTGATTGACCAATCCACCTCATTTCTGTTCAAAAAAATATTAATTGGTGTCTATGGGATGCTCAATGCTTGTAATGAGCAGACAGCTACTCATCTACTGTCACCATGGAGTGATTTCTTAGCAAAGGTCAGCTGTAGGTTTTTTCCAGATTTGTCTATGCTAGATTGACTTGCAAATTGCTTAAAACTCTCTCTTCACTCAAAAAGCTTAAAAGAGCATAAAAAGAAAAATCTGAAGCTGAAAAGCACAAGTAAACATCAAGAACATAGATATGATTTTTGTATCTGGATATCCTTTCTCAGAAAGAGAACACCAATCGGCAGAGTCTAATTTGTAGAAATGACTTTGATCTTGCCTTGAAAAAACAGTAAATAAGTACATATGTATAATGCATACATTAAAATTAACTTTCTTTAAAATTAATTTTCCTGAATATAAGAAAGTGAAAATCAAAATCAACAAAAAACTATGAACCAGAGACACTTTTTGGGGGGTGGGGGCGGGAGGGGAAGGATTGGGGTCAGAATGGGGCGTTTGCAATTGTATGGGGGAATATAAAAATAAAATTTAATATTTAAAAAAAAAAATTAATTTTCCTTTCCTCCTAAACTCTAAACTGACTTTTTCTGTTAAATAACGAACGGCAATGTTAATGCCTCCTTTGGGCAGTGACTCTGGGTTATAGACTGGTGGCAGGAGATGTTCACGTGTGGCTGTCTCCCAGCTCTCTGTGAAATCAGAGTTCAACAGTACATGAGCCCCGTATATGAAGATGCCAACCTTTGCCCACAGATTCATGTTGGACATTCATTCTGAAATCATTGCTAGGAAAAATTTTGTTTTTAAATATTCTTGTATTTTTTCCTTTGTCACACAATAAGAAGCAGGTCCTTTGAGGAGACTGTCAGTTTCTCTCAGAACTTTTAGTGATGCCCAACAGTGAGGGTGTAAATTCAATAAGAAAGTTAAAAAAAAAAGAGCCTGCATCTGCATCATCCATTTCAAATGATGTTTCACTAAAAATAAAACAAACAAACAAACACAACCCCCAAACCCAAAAGATCTGAGGTCTAGAAAATGAGTTTTTTTTTCAGTGAATGGATGTGTATATTTTCACTTTATTTGTAATGGTCTGTGGGCTCTGGTCTTGGTTTCTTGCATTGCACTCTACGGGGAAGGATGAATGTGGGTATAAACAGAGCTCAGGAAAAGGCTGTGCCCCTCACACTGCATTCACTCATCTGGGAACAGGTGTTATACAGGGTCCCTGACAAAGGGCATGAAGCAAGCTGTGTACTGGCATTCTGGGGCAGTTTTAAAACTCAAACACAGGGGTCCTCCCTGGTGGCCTACGGGTTAAGTGCTATCAAACCATTGCCATCCATTATGGCATGAGTTTGATCCCCAGCCAGGGAGCTGACCCACATGGCGCAGCAGACCTCTCCTGTCTCCCAGCTGCTCCCCTCAGCAGTGTATTTCAGTTGATCTGCCTGCTCTGCTCCCCACTCTGTCTCTGGTGAATCTTCTTACCACCGCACCCACCTCTGGCCTACACCCCAGTTCTTATATGCATAAATAAATAAAGTCTTTAAAAAAGCACTCAGAAACATTTTTTTTTTTTTTTTTTTTTTAGTATGGGTTTACCAGGAGACGTGCACACAGGGTCACCCTTGGTGTGTCCTGAGACACCATAGAGTATTATTGCAACTCCCCACCTAGGCTGATCTCAGTGGTTCCAAAAGGCAGAGCCTCAGGCCAAAGAGGATTATTCTCAGTCCTCAAGATCTCATGAGTTTGCCTTGCCAGGTTTTGGACTCACTTTGACCATCCCCCCATCCCCATTTCTGATACCCCCTTCTGGAGCAGGAATGCCTGTCCTCTGCCTGTCCTGCCATGGTGTTTTGCAAACACTTACCCTGTTTTATTGCACAAGTTCATAGCTGAGGAAGCATTTGCCTCAGGATGAATTGTATTTGAGTCTCACAACTGCTTTAGATGCAATTTAGATGAGATAGGAGACTTTGGACTTTAGAGTTAATCCTGGAACAAGTTAAGACTTTGGGATGTTGGCATGAGATAGATATAATTTGCATGGCAGGACAGGAATTTGGAGGTGCCTGAAGGCAGAATGACATGAACTGATGTTGTGTACACCACAAAATCCTAAGCCCTAATGTGATAGTGTGTGGAGATCAGAACTTGGGGAGTAATTAGATTATGTAGACCCACCTGAGAGAACTTGGGGAGTAATTAGATTATGTAGACCTACTTGAGGTAGGGTCAGCACGAGACACTAGGTCTGCTCACACCTTCACCTTGGAATTCACAGCCTAAACCACTTTGAGAAATTAATGTTTATTTTTTATGCCACCCCAAATATAATATTTTTTATACCAGCCTAGGTTGACCAAAACATGCCCTTTTTTTTTTACCCAATGGATTGAAATTTAGACAATTTCAACTAAAATCACATCTAAGGCCTCCCCTGGTGGCGCAGCTGTTGAGTGCTGGGCTGCGAAGCTGCCCGCAGCCTTTGCAGTGCCGGTTAAATCCCCAGCCACCGGCGAGGGTCCCACATGGCGCAGCAGACCTCTCCTGTCTCGCCCGCTGCTCCCCTTAATGTACTTCATTAATCTGCCTGTTCTGTTCCCCATTCTGGCTCTGGTGAATTCTCTCACCCTTCCGTGCTTCTGACTGTACCCAGTGCTTGTATATATAAATAAATAAATCTTTAAAAAAATAATAAAATCACATCTATGCATGTAATATTCTTTTCCAACAGGATTCTGAATATGGCACAATAATTTAGTACATGGGGAGAAACTGGAAATCTCAGTGCAAATTTCGGTGGCAGAATTCCACCCAAGGGCAAGGGTTTTGTCTCTGGAGCAGAATCCTCCAGCAACAAGGCTAAGTGAGGCCATGGGCAGTAGTGTTTTGTGACCACACAGACCCAGTGGAAACCACAGAGAGCCACGAGCTGCACAGGGAGCTGGCTGCCCTCAATGAGTGATAGTGGAAGGTAGTGGGAGGGTCAAGTGGGGGCTTATGACTTGTGTCACACAATTCCCTCTAGTGTTCGAAGAATACTTTCATAATTACAAAGCCTTCCAGTTAGGTTAACAATATGAACTTTATAGGGAAAGGGTAGCACTTATAAAAAACTAAGATTAAAGACTGTGCTGCTTACAAGGGTACCTAAAGTAACCAAGCAAGGCCTCCAAACTTCTAGACTTCATCCCATGTGTGCTGAATCACAGGGAACAAAAATAGGGTGCAGGAATATGCATATGACAAAAGCCAAGGTCCTGGGTCTCATTGGCTGATTTTTTTTAAGGTTCCAAGGATACTTTATAACCTATTTTCTAACCTGCTTTTAAATCACCACCTTCATCCAAAGACCTTTTCCTCTAACCTCATGCCTTAAAACTCAATTTGATAGTCTGTCCAATAAACATATGTTAGATTGTACTCTGGAGTATGTATGTGCTTTTTCTGAAGAAGTCTGTGTTTAGATTTAACAAAACAGAATTGAGTAAGACCCTAGTTTTTCAGAGAGTATTGCAATTAAAGTAAGTGAAAGTACAACACAGTGGGAATTGAAGACTTTATGACAGATACTATCTTAAAGAGAAGCAGTTCTACTTTTGCTTTTCATTTCCGTTCTAGCTCTTTCTCGATGGAATCCGTGCTGTTGTTTTAAGCCACCCCATTTGTAGTGATTGTTATAGCAGCCACGGGAAACTTATACAGCATCCCAAATATCTGAAGAAAGTCTCAATAGTCATTCAGCTTTTAATGACCTTGTCTTTTTCCTCTTGGTACATATTGCCTGATTCAATACTTCAAGTAACAATCTATAGCTCTCTCATGTCTTTATTATGTTTTTCCATTTTATTCTGAATATTAAAGCATTAAGATGTAATTGCACATACTCTGATAAATCCCAATTCCTCTCTTAACTAACTGCAGTTAGTACACATTGTGACAAATTGTGAGGTCACCCACAAAGGAAGGGTAAAACTATTAGCTGGCGATCAAAGAATGAATGTTTCTATTCTGCGGGCTCCTGTTTTGCATTCCTGTGG